TAGGACAGTGAAAAACGAAGACAAAACTAAAACCACCTTCCTCTCAGGCCCCTTTTTCTTCCCAGGCTCAACTTCACTCCTGACTCTTCTACCCTCCCTGCTGCACCCTGAGAGGTGCAGGGGGATGGGGAACAGGGTTGCAGTCAGTCCATAACAGTTCTTCTCTGCGGCTCCTTCTTCCTTGCGCTGTTCCTCTGCTCCTGCTGGGGTCCCTCCCACACGGTACAGTCCTTCAGGAACAGGCTGCTGCAGCATGGGTCCCCCACAGGCTGTAGTTCCTGCCAGAAAATATGCTCCTGAGTGGGCTCCCCTCCATGGGCTGTAGCTTCCTTCAGGGCACACATTGCATCATGGGGTCCTCTGTAGGCTGCAGGGTGGCTATCTGCTCCACCATGGTCCTCCATGGGCTGCAGTGGGACAACCAGCTTCACCACAGGCTGCAGGAGAATATCTGCTCTGGTGCCTGGAGCACCTCCTCCCACCTTCTTCACTGACCTTGGTGTCTGCAGGGCTGTTTCTCTTGCGTTTTTCTTACACCTCACTCAGAGCTGCTGTGCAGTATTTTTTACCCTTTCTTGAATATGTTATCACAGAGGTGCCGCCAGTATTGCTGATGGGCTCAGCTTTAGCCCAGACGAGTCCCTTCTGGAGCTGGCTTGAACTGTCTCTGGCTGACGTAGGGTACAGCTCTTGGTGTCTTCTCACAGAAGCCATCCCTGCAGTCCCCCGTATTACCAAAACCTTGCTGTGTAAACCCAACACAGGAGGTAATGCTCTAGTAGTTGCCTTTGGAGGTGGGAAGTGATTCAACCCCTAATTAAACATGAGGCAGATAGGTGGGTAATTCTTCCTCCAGAGTGTTTTTTTGTGTGTGTGTGGCATGTACAGATATATTCTCCTTGAAGGTGAATACACATGTAGACACAACCTCACATTTGCTGACTTTTGATGCTCACTGACAGAAGGAGAAGAGCACAAGGGCCTCCTGTGACTTGTCTTGCATATTTATTTCATATACAGAAGCATTGTTAAAATGGACTCTGATATGAAATACAGTGCTTCTATCTGTGCTGTTCTGATGGCAACTGAAATTCACTTACAGGCACTACTGAAACTGCTGTAATCTGATCTGAGCATATTTTCATAGTCTTGGTCTCTGTAACTCATCCATCCAGGAATCTGGTTTAGATGAGAAAATGCAAGAATGAGCATTATCATCATCATATGCTTGGTCGTTCTTAACTTGCAGCCATGCATTTAAGGACTTATCAAAGAGCAGACATAAGTGAAAAGCTCTGCATAGGCTTGAAACATACTGTTCTAAAAACACCCGAGGTATAGTGTGGTCTTGCCTGTATTTGTAAGTACGGGCAATATCAGCTTAGTCCAAATGCTGTCAGAGAGGTACCATGTTGCTTTCCACACTCCAAGGACTCCTTACTACATAGACTTTGGACAAGGTGGGTGTAAAAGTGCAAACAGTTGTGTTCTTTATGAGATTACTACTTGCAGTCTCGAAACTCTTACAGACTTTGAAGTATGAAATAGCATTGGCAGCAGCCTCTGCTGAAGAGAGGTGTTCAACTTGCGTATCACTGGTGTAACTTTGTCTTTTCTTCTGTGTCCTCCTGGTCAGTTATTCTAAGCAGAAGGAAATGCTGAGAGTAGTTGAAGTAGAAAACAGTGGATCTTGCTGAAGAATGAAACCTGGGGGGGCAAAGCCGTAAAATGAATAGCCATGGAGTTTGCTTTTAAACCTGATCCTGTGATCTCTTAGTCACATGAATAGATGCTTGTTGACTTGCTCCCTAGACAGATATTTGAGGTTTGAGTCTTTTGTTTTATATCCAAAGGAAAACTGTTATTAAAGAATGTCCCTATCTGTTTTTGATGCACTGGCAGGCCATTTTCTCCTAATTCGTTTAAGGGGTGTTTGATAGAAGAGAGCTTCTTGGCAGCTCTCCGATCTTAATAGCTTCTGAGAAAATGCATTGATTGGCCCGTTTGTTTTCAAAAGATTGCTATAATTTTCAGTCATTATCTATAAGGAAATCAGTGTAATTTATTAAACCAACATCATGGATTAAGAATTAAAGACCTGATTCTTTTATCACTTAAACTGGTGTTACGTTGATGTTACCCATGAGGAACTTTAGTAAGACAAAGAGCAAGTGGAAGAAGTTCCTATGAGCTCTTAAAAAGCAAGCTTCTAGACCTCTGTCATAAGCCCAGAATTGATTCTTGAAAATAAATTTCTACTTTTTTGTTGCTTGTACCAAGAATAAACCACATTTCTTGGAGTTTGGGTACTGAAAAGAGTCCCAAAAGTATCATATTAAAAAAAATCTTCTAGGAATGAGCTTACGCCTGAGAAACAGAACACTTAGCTAGCACTCTGTGTAGAAAGTTTGGGTTGCAAATTTTATAGGGAAACCAGCTTGCATTTAATCAGAAGAGAAAATTAATCTCTCTACTCTCCCTACTTTTCTGAAAAGCAAAATTTAAGCAGTGGCTCTAATTTCTTGTTCCTTTTACAAGCAAGTTAGGTTAGATGCATTTCAGTGGTACTGCTTAGGTAAATTTAGTTTGCCTTTAAAACGTGTCTTACAAGCTTTACAGAATTGAAATTTGATTACTGAGGTATGAAAGTGAGGAATAAATTACTTTCATAAAATTGTATGACAATAATGATGTCTTATCAGGGTCATCTTATCTTTGTTTATTTTAATTCTGTGAAGTTTTGTTTTAAAGACCCAGTATGAAATAAATGAGTCGCATGAACATAACATTTTAATGCAGTTTGACTACTATTACAATGAAAAAAGACAAATTGGTAGACTAATGCTCTGGTGAATTCTTCCTTGTCACAAAGTCTGTCAATCAACTGCTTATTACAGTAGATTTCTGTTGATTATATCAAATAGTGAATTTTCAGGTCTCCACTGTAAGTAGACAGTGCTTTAATCTTACGTATGGGTTTTTTTTGATCTAGTCCCTTACCGATCTCTGGGAATTACATTAAATTAGAGTGATTCTATGGGGTGGAATTTAACAGGCCAGCTAGCACAAAAGACTTTTCATCAGTTTTAGCCAAAGATGGTAGGATAAACCCAGCCATCAGGGTTTCGGGCATTGCACAGTCTTTTAAACCATCCACTTGTAAGTAACTGGTTGCTTCCATTCTGACTGTTTTAAAGAAGTGATCTAATCCTGCTACTTGGTGAAGTACAGCAGTCTGAATTAGGGAAGTGAAATCTTGTCTCCTTCCCTGTAAACTTACTCGAAACTTGGATTTGCCTTTTTTTAAGTATTTGGCTCTATTTTTGGGGAGGGTCTGGGGCATGAATCGCTGCAATGGTTCCTGCTAGACAACATTTCTCATTCTACTTAGCCTTCAACAAAAACAAAGCCTTTGGTCAAAGCCCATGCTAATAAATTGTCTGCCACCCTCAGAAATGTATCTTTCATAGAATGGTTGGCTAAAACTGGAAAAGCTTTTTGCAAGTATCATGACAGTGTTTACTACAATGAAGAGAGGCCTGTTCTGCCATTCTGTGGTACAGATGGTGTCTGCTTTGGTACTGAATAGTATGGCAAGATAAAGGGAACAAAGTCTGTGATAACACAAAGGGCACATTTTGTCTGCTAATAATAGGCTTGGGACTGCCATAAACTCTTTACATAAATTACACAACAGTACGGATTCTCTTTCTTAAATTTTTCTTTACCTTACTTGCGGTTGAAAACCTGGCTAAATAACTTCCTATTGCTTTGTAGCAATTCTTGTGCATGCTCTTTGCTGTGGTAAGCATAGTCAGCAAGGGCAGTAAAACAAATGTTTCAGGACACTGATCTAGACTCAGTGCCTCACATAATGGGGTCTTACATAAACTAAAAGGATAGGCATAAAGATTTTTTTCATCAGTTAATTCCCTGGGATGCTGACAGCTGCCGTTTTGTTATTGCATATGACTGGCACATTCAGAAATACTGTCTCAGGGGTTCCTCCCTGGACAAACTGCTCCGCCTCAGAGGGGAAAACAGTGTAGGAATGGAACAGGATGACAGCACCTCCTGCTAAACTGTATTCAAAATACTGGGGTATTGTTTACTACGAGATCATGTCTTCATATTTTGTCTCCTAACAAATGAGGCTAGCGTTGGTGTCAGTGATGGTGGGGAGAGGTCAATACGGTATTTGGTAGGCCAGAATACTTGGCAGAGGACACCTCCTCTGAATGTTCCGCTGCTAAGGTCCTTTCCAAAATTATACAAACATTTCTTAAGTAACCTAAGAGTTAATTTTTCTGGAAACACTGCTGGGTCATGGGTTAGTACAGTTATTGATGTTTCCTTTCTGGGCTTATGGAGTATAACTGACAGAATTATAGTGTCAAGGAATAATTGAACAAATTGCGTGTATTGTGCATAGCCAAGCTTTTATTTTCTTGCCAAAATCAACTGATCTTTGAATGTGACAAGGGAACAAGCCAATAAAGCTAGAATTAAGGGGCTGCTGCTACCTCTTAGTTGCATAGTATGGCTGGCATAGCCTGTAGAGGCACAACTTCTAACCTAAAGCTCTAAAGCTTTCATTTATTTGCAAACTGCTCTTGAAGATAGTAAAGGCCACAGTATATGTCTTAAGAAGTACAGACAATTCAAATCAAAGTAGAAGTGGATTATTTTGCTCATATTTTATCAATAAAGACCTGATAGAGGAGTATTCTGGTCCATGGAATGGAGTCATATGCTGATGGGTTTTGCAGAATTAGGACTGAAATGTGAAAAGTTGTTTCCAAAGCCAAATGTAAATTGATTCAGAAATACGGTATTCTCTTTCTGTGCTTACTTTTGTAAATATTGCCATTGGGCCTTTTCCTACAATAGAATTAACTTTCCTTTTAGTGTATTTAAGTGTAAAATGGGAAGTCTGTATTAACAGTCTGTTTATAGAAATAATTGCACTCTGTAACCACTGATACTATTTGGTTTTGCAGGTTGTCTTCTGAATTTTGGGTCTGAAGGTACCCTCTTGCTTTCTCAGCAAATCATGGACATCGTTGGCTTTCTGAAGTCTCAATTCATTTGCCACCTTCTGATCTGCTACATATTTATAGTGTCAGGACTGATCATTAACTTCATTCAACTCTTTACACTTATACTTTGGCCAATCAACAAGCAACTGTTCAGGAGGATCAACTGCAGGCTGGCTTACTGCATTTCAAGCCGTAAGATTTCATTTTGTTTTTTCAACTATTTTCATATTTTGTCTTGAGGAAATTGGTAGAAAAGTTCTGAAACAGATTTCAGAGTAACCCATATAAAGGTCATTACTGCTTCCTACAGCACTTGCATTTGCGTGAAGAGGTGTATGCTTTGTTGAAATGTCTTGTTCTGCTGAAATGTTTTACTCTTTTATATTGGGATACTTGCTTGACTCAGGATGTTGAAGAAAGACTGCTTCTCATTTAGTTATCCATCATGTTTCATTAAGCCTGTTGTGGTTTAAGCCCAGCCAGCAACTAAGCACCACACAGCTGCTTGCCCACTCCCCCCCAGTGGAGTGGGGAAGAGAATTGGAAGGGTAAAAGTGAGAAAACTCGTGGGTTGATATGAAGACAGTTTAATAGGTAAAGCAAAAGCTGTGCACGCAAGCAAAGCAAAGCAAAGAATTCATCACCACTTCCCACGCACAGGCAGGTGTTCAGCCATCTCCAGGAAAGCAGGGCTCCATCACACTTAACAGTTACTTGAGAAGACGAATGCCATCACTCTGAATGTCCTGCCCTCTTTCCTTCTTCTTCACGCAGCTTTATATGCTGAACATGGTGTCATATGTTATGGAATATCCCTTTGGTGAGTTGGGGTCAGCTGTCTTGGCTATGTCCCCTCTCAGCTTCTCGTGCACACCCAGCCTACCAACTCGTGGGGTGGTATGAGAAGCAGGAAAGCCCTTGACTCTGTGTAAGCACTGCTCAGCAGTAACAAAAACATCCCTGTATTACCACCACTGTTTTCAGTACAAATCCAAAACATAGCCCCATCCTAGTTCCTATGAAGAACATTAACTCTATCCCAGCCAAAACCAGCACAAAGCCAAATGAGAAATAGTGACCAAATAATAGCTGAACTTGCCAATATGCATTATCTGTAGGCTTACAGCGTTAACACTAACACTTTCAATCCTATTATCACACGTGACTTTGTTTTTGATCTTGGTTTAAGTGTTTCATATGTGAGTACTTTTTGGGACTGGGAAATGACAGAAAAAAAAAAGGAAAAATCTTTGTTTCCATGTGTTTCCTAAGACAGTTGTAAACTGTTTTTTCTTTGAATGGGTATTTCAGACCTTAAGCTGCATCTGTATGTATTCAGTATATGCATATAGTTATAATGTAGAATACAGCAGGTAGCCTGTAAGCATTGAAAGAAGTGGGAATTGCAATTATTTTTATTTTCCGGGGGATGATGGGAGCATAAGCTCAGGACATTACTTCTAGAAAGTCCAGAACTTTGTAACTGCTGGGAGATGTGACAATTCACTGATAGTTGACTAAACAGGTAATTCCAGTGGAATGAATGAGACCTGTATGCACTCATTTCTTCCGTGATAGTAGGAGGTTGGTAGAATCTCTACCCACCACCAGTGCATTATCAGAGCATGTGTAGTTTTCTTTATATTATCAATCTGCTTATATATTTGTTTTTAAAGAGCTATGACTGCAGTTTCAGAACTGATTTATTGTAGTGCAACTTCTGACTTCCCCATAATTGCTCGTAACTTACAGCAGAGAGCATTCTCCACAGAAGCTGTTACAAAATACGGTAGGGTGCCTGCGTTCAGTAACTGGGAGTGTCCTGTTAAATGTGTCCACCTTCCAGAGGGATTTCCCTGGGCCTTTCTGAAACTCAAAAGTACTTTCTAAAAAGGAAACTGTTGCAAAGTGCATGCCTTTTGAGGCTCCCTAAAGATTATTCAAGTGTCATGTCACTGTCAATGTGGAGTGAGTTATGGATGGTTTCATTTGGGGGAAAACAGCCCTCCAAAACAGTGTTTAAGAATTGTGTTGCAGAAATGCAGCAAAATGGTTTCCTTCAGGTCACCTGTTCTGCTACTAGGAACTTGAAAAGGGAAAGCATTGTTAGTATTCATAATGAACTTCTTGAGGGAGAAATCTGCCACATGCCTCAAACTGGAGGCCGCTAGGGTTTATTCATCTCATCCGTGAATCTGATGTGCATTCAGATTCAAAGCATTTCTTTAAACATACTTTTGACTCAAGTTTCAAAGCTGCATCAACGTGTATAGGCCCAAATAAATTGGGGGTGCTGTTTTATTTCTGTGATAAAGAGAGGATGTTCCTGCTGAAAAATTTCATTTTTACTGTCTGTGTGTATGTCCCTGAAGTAGTGAGTTCACAAGTACTATTCATTTGCATGTACAGTGGCATGAATATGGCCTCTTTTACCTTTTGTCAGGTAGCGTAGTATATGTTTGAAGCCATGAAATGTAGAAAATACTGTACAGCTATATAGAGGTGTATATTATTATTTTCCATGCAATGCCTTCTGCCCCATTCTTCCATTTGCCTACTTAGTTCAGTGACAACAGCTACGCTAGAGTTTCTAGACTGAATCCTTTAGCTGTCCACAATCTAGTCTCCCCTATATTGGGGGCTGGTCACTGTTTAACAGTGAGTAATACTGCATGCTTGTCCTTGGTTGGGCAGATGGTTTTGTACTCAGGATTACTGATCTGGTCTTCAGTGCTACTGAAAAAGGTTGTGTTGTGAGATTTTTGCCCAATGATGCTCAGAACAAACTATCTCTAGGATAAAGAGTTATTTTAGCTTTACAACAGAGCAAGCTAGCATTTCATATGAGTCACCCTTATCTGAGTGATATCTGAAAAGGGGAAAATTATATGTAATTAAAAAAATTACTTGGAAGAACTGAAGAATGCACTAGACCAATTAATCGAAATGGATGTGTTCTTGTAGTAGTATATGTGTAAGATAATGCCTTTTGGGGGCTGTTGGTGTGCTGATTAATAAATAGCTTAAGTTGGGTCTGTAATGGATGTGATGAAAATCATCAAGCAGCCTACAGTTTGAGATGATGAAGCTTAGCCTTGGAGAATGTAAAAAGGCACATGCTTTGCAGTGGTGACAAGCAGCATGTTGCTTTGAGTGGCTGGTACAGTCTGAGTCACCAGGTCAACCAAAGAGTTAAATAGAGCGGATATGGTTTAACTTAAGAATGGAATGAAAGCAGCAGCTGCCTTTATATCTTTCAAGTTCAGTCAGTTTCCATTTGATGTCAAAGGTAGAGATAAATGATTCCATAAAATCAGGGGAGAGCATTTCATCTTTGACACTATGCTCTTTGGGAAAGTGTTTCTGTATTTCAGCTAGTGGTGGAGTTTTCTTCTACCACTTTTCTTCCTATCTTCTTTCAAATTTGAGAACATCATATTCTCACTTCTCCATGTGCAATGTCTGCTGTCATACTGCATACAGGAAGCTAAACTGCTATTGTGTTTAATGACTTGTCCTCACTTTAGTAGTCCAGCTTGAGTTGGGGATGCTTATCTGTTCACATGAATCAAGCCAGACTAGGTCAAGTAAAAGTATTCATAGAATCATAGACTTGTCTAGCTTGGACTTTAAGATCGAGTCCGGCTGTAAACCTAATGCTGCCAAGTCCACCACTAAACCATGTCCCTAAGCACCACATCTACACATCTTATAAATACCTTCAGGGCTGGTGACTCAACCACCACTCAACCAGCAGTTTGGGTTGCTTTTATATCTCCAAGATATGTTTCATGTTTTCCTATGAATAAAATCTTTTTGATCCCATTATCCCATTTGACAAATATCTACAAAGTAATGGTTAGTTTTAGTCCTCCTTACTCTATATGTCTCAGCCTTTAATGAAGAGTGCTAGTTGCAGAGAGTGGACATTCAACTTGAAAAGAACAAGTTTTTGTCTCTGTTGGTCTTGAAATGAGATGAAAGACTAGTAAGGTTACCCCTCTTCTGTTGTGTTTTTTTTTATAAAAAACTCACAAAACCAAACAACAACAAACCAAAAACCCAAACAAAACAAAAACACAAAGCCTTTGGACGTGTAATGCTCAGAAAACCTATTCTGTTCCCAAGTATATATTCACTGACTGGTTCAACTGCCTGTTAAACCCCCGTTTTGTAAAATGACAACCCAGATAAACTCTCCCTAATACTGAACTCCATAGAGTGCACCTCTAATGAGGAAATTGAACACTGCAAGCCTCAACAAGGTGGTAACAACAAAAATTTAAAAAAGAAGTGTACTTGCAAGGTGGCATTAGAACAAAGATTGGGCAAGCAATCAATCTTATTTTTTATTTTTAAATAATTTAGGGACATTGTGTCCTCAGTCTGTCTTTCCAAAAGACTGTGAGCCAAGATGTATGCCAAGGAAGGAAGCACTTAGTGTGGAATACATCACAGTTCTCATGGATGCTGTTTGTGCCTGAATTGGAAGAGATGGGAATACATGTTTCTCCTCCCCCTTATCTGGGGACAGCAAACTGCCACAAAGGATATGCATGGCTTTTCTGCACTAGCTTGTAAGGTTGGCCAAACACATAGAGGGAACAGGTTGTCTTGGGTATTAGTGCCATGTGTGCACATGGCTCCATAGCTTGCTGGGGCAGTAGGAAAGGGGTTTGTACTTCCTGAACCAGGCTGTGGTTGGTGGGCTGGTGCAGTGCTACCCCAGTGTGAGCCGGGCGTGCTGAGCTCCTGGGGGCTGTTTGGGATGTAACTGTGCCATGTGCCAAGACTATGAGAATGGGACATACACGTACAAGACAAAAGGCTTCTTTAGTGGTGCTGGGTGTATTTACTCAGGAAGGTATTTGCCTGTGAGTGGAGCAGTGGTTGATAACTTGTCCTCTTGCTGCCATGGTGTTGGGGGCAAGTTAGCTTCTCCTTGTGCTGAGATCCACCTTGTGCTCCTAGGGTGAGTGGCAAACTGGCCTCCTGCTGACTCTGCATGAGGTGAACTTTGCATAAACAAAAGATCTGCCAACAATGGCACAGTCGTGTGGACAGGTGCATAAAGGCTTTAAAGGCAATTGCTTTTAAAAGACTTAGCTTCTAATCTGCCTTCATAAATAAATTATAGTAGTACTAATACCTATTCTTGTGCTATGAAAGGGGTGTTATTATACCTCTGGGTA